GGGGGGGGGGGGGTGTTGTTTTTCTTGGAAGAACTAACCGTCTCTGGGCTGGTTGCTTTCTTCTTGTCATTTTAAAAGGAAGCTTTTCTTCTCAGCAGGCATTATTAAAAGTGGAATTGCTAGTCCAAACCCAGCTCACGTTGAGAGGAATTTTGCCCTGAAAGGTTGACCACTACAAGGTGGGAAGTGGAAGAAATGAGTCTTACAGATGGGCATTTGTCTGTTCCATTTCTTACATGAAAACAAACCAAGAGCTTAGAGCTGAGTTTGATTGCTGTGATGAAAACTGGCGAGCAGCAGAAAATAATTTCTCTTCAAAACATAGTGACCTAATGTCTTTTCTAATACTGATCTAATTTCTTTCTCTTTTCTTTTTTTAATCCTCACTGGAAGAGTGAGGATATTTTTTCCACTGATTTTTAGAGAGAGTGGAAGGGAGGGGTGGGAGAGGGGAAAGAGAGAGAGAAACATCCACGTGACAGAGATGGATTGGCTGCCTCCCACAAGTGCTCTCACCAAGGGTGGGGACCTGACCGATCCCCTGCAGTGTGCAGGCCGACACTCTGACCACTGAGTCACTCGGGCCAGGGCTGATCTAATTTCTAGCTCTGTAAAGCGGAGAAATGGTTGCCAGGGTGTGGTGGTAGGTGGGGCTGGAATCCACTAGGTAGGCACACGGGAAACTTTGAAGACGATGTAGATAGTCTATAAGGAAATAGTGCTGGTGGTTACATGGGTATATACACTCATCAAACCGTACACTTAAAATGGGTGCATTCTATTGCCTGTAAAGTATAACCTTAGTACATTTGATTTAAAAAATGCATTTAGACCCGCTGGAGTTCTGCCATCACGTAGGGCCTCAGGAGAGAGAACTGAGAGAAAAAGAAGTCTTTCGCATCAAACACCTATGGGGAAGGATTGAGGGGTTGATTGCCTGGGGAGGAAGGATCCAAGTGACCACTCAGGGAGTGAGGAAAGGAAGACCGAAGGGCTCCCAAATCCTCTGCAGGGGGTGGAGGGGTAAGAGGAATTCACTGCCAAGTGCCTCAAGTTGCCTTTTTCTATATAATGGGCTCCTGGTCATAAGTAATGTTAATTGTGCCTGCATGAGTAAGGTTGACCAGAAAACCCGGCTCTGCCCAGAGCCTTGGTCTATCCAAGAGGTTTTACAGTGACCTGTGCTTGGAAGTGTCCTGAGGAAGTCTGAGAGGGGCATTCTGGACTAGGCTGGACTAAAGCCCACATCAGCATGCCCTGTTCCCAGAGGCTGTGTGGACCACCACAGGTTCGGCTGCTCGTCCCCAGTGTGCTAAAAATTGCCAAAGGGGGAGCCACATGGGGAAATACCTAGCACCTGTTGGCTGGCTCTTGGGTGCCCTCCTCTGCCCCACCCACTGAGGAACTCTGTTGCTCCCTTCACCCACTCAAAATTCACTTAAAATTGTAGCACTAATATACCAGTAGTCACGGTTGTAACGGCTTCTATGTGATCAGTAGTAAGTAGTGTACCCTGTTAAGTGCTTTACATGCATTATCTCACATCATCTTTCCCGTAGCCTTAGGCAGGAAGAACTGTTATTTTTAATTAGCCTCATTTTCTAGGTAAGAAAGATGGAGCTCAGAGGGCAAATCACTTACCCAAGAGTTCACACAGAGTTGATGTCAGAGCAGGGTAATTACCCAGGTGCGGAAATCTAGTGCCAAGCATTTCCCGGCTCTGAGCACAAAGACCTAAAGCCTGAAAGGTCTTAATGTTTTTAATTATGCTCATGTTAGAGAGGAGGGACAGGGACAGGGACAGGGACAAGGACAGGGACAGGGACAGGGACAGGGAGGATGGGGCTCTGAGGGCTCTTATTTGGAGAGTCCGAACCACACTTTGATGGTGACTCACTCCTTAGGGCCACACCTCTTAGATGAAGGTAAAAATGGATCTCCTGGTGGCACAGTTTTCTGTACTTTGGATGAAAGTAAAAAGGCAATTCATTCTAGGCCATTTTAAAAGTAAGGAAATGAGGCTAAATGATATGATTCAGGAAATATCCCAGAGCTGATCAAAGAGATACCCTAAATCCAGGTGTCCTGTAGGTATTTTTCCCTTTGCTAGATCATCTGATTCAGTACATTATCTCCCGAAAGTAAATAGGAAGCTGCTTTTCAAAACACCTCTAGAACAACGTTTCTCAATGTGTGGGACAGGGACTCCTGTAATAGGACAGAAGGAGTCTGTCCACCTGGCGCTAGCAGAGGCAAACAGTAGACCCCGAGAACGGCAGAGGAGAAATACTGACTATTTGATCCTGAATGGTTCCACCCAGGAGAACAGGAAGTTTTTAAGCAAAAGCTGGCACTCCCTGGTGGCGTGTAGGTTACAGATTATATGGAAAATCACAAGACACTGTGGATTAGGGGTTTGGGGTCATGATGGGAGCTCCTTAGTCAGCAGTGAGGTAAGGGTGAGGAGTCATTTCTCCAGGTCTTGAGGACAGTTTAAGATTCTTTCCCACATCCCTCTGGTCTCATGGGAAAGTAGCCAGGGGGTCATTCCACCTGAGGGCTCAGGAGCTGAAACATAACTTAGGTTAAGATGTTATCTTTAGCCT